TTAAATAAAAAACGTGAGGAAAAGAAATTAATGGGAAAAATACTAAACAGAACAATAAGAATTTGGAAATTTAAAAAAAAATGTCATAAAAATAGTTTTCTTAAAGAGCAATTTCTGCAATAAAACAGTGTACTTTATTTTTAAAGGGGTTGTGGTCTCTTAGACCTCAAAAACTTTTTTATATTTCTAAAATAAATGTTATTTTTGTACTATCGTAGAATTAACACATTCACTTCGAAACTTTTTTGAATCTTAGTACTTTTTCGAAAAATCGTTATTTTTCGAATTAAATTATAGCAATTTTTTCAATAAGCAGCCAAAAAAAATATAATTAATTTGTTACCCCTTTATATAATATTTAGAAAGGTTCCTCAAAAATTTACGGGACATCAGAGGATTTCGAATTTCAATTCAAAATCTTAGACCCTAATTTGTTTGTTTTTAAAATTGAGCTATATTTTTGCTTCAATCGATCCACTTCTACCTAATGATGGCTAAATTAGACCTAAATCGGAAATATTTATAAATTAATAAAGTCCAAATGGTTAGCTGTGTCTGCATAGTCGAAATAATTCAATACTTCAAGAATCAATTTCTGGGTACGCTTTTCTGGTTTATACGAGTTTATTTTTTATCAAGAAACAAAAAAAAACAGATTGTGGTTTCCCTTGTGCATAACAAAACTATTTTTACAACAGCTATACATGTATAATCCATTATAATTTTTATGGGATCACTGAATCGGTGTTTGTCTCGAAATTCTAATTTTGTTAGTCATAATTCATGCTGAATACTAAATAGTTGTTTGTTTATGCAATAAAGCCAACATGCATTCGTTGACAAGCGTGCAAATTTTCGAATTTGGCAATGAATTTGTTGTAATAGTAGTGGTTTAGAAATGTTTAAGAAAGCAAATTAACGTTTGAATTATTAATGTCTATTTTCAATTTGGGTCAATATATAAATTATATAAATATTTGAAACCTAGAGTATTTGTAAAATTATTTAGCACCTTTTTAGCAGTAAAGTTATAAGGCTAATTTAGTTAAAAGCTCAATTTCCTTGCGGAGTGGATAAAACATTACTAGGTGTTCTAAATTCTTAAGTGAATGAAGAAAGATACTCCAACTTCAACGGTTTACGATCTCTGCGTCTAAAGAACGGGAAACCACAAGATTAAAGTAATATATTTTACCACCAACGAATTACAATTACCTACTTCTAAAGTAAAGGTGTTTATTTTCGTTTAGTTTTATTTAGTGTGTCTTAAGAACGGCACAACTTGGTGAAGTGAAGTACTTCGAATCTTTTAATGTTCCTTCATAACACATTATAAGACGTTTCTGGAAATTATGTGTTATACTTTACTGTTTTATTTCTAAATAATAATATACAGGGTGAACGTGCAACAATATCTAAGCCGTCTTGAGTTTCATGATATATCTGAATTCATTGAACCATCAGCGATGAGTTCAAAATATTATTTGTTGCAACCGGTTGTAGACACTCAATTAGACTGACAAAATTTAACAAATTAATACCATTGACTGAGCCATTAAAATGTTCATGAAGTAGAAGTACCTATACAAGCTCAGAAAGATTAAATATTGATATTAATACATCATGGTGATATCCCCCTATAGGGTATACAGGGTGGCCACTTTTTCATTGAAATGTATTGCTATCTCGTAAACCGTTGGTAACACAAAGTTGGTTAAATGGGGAAAAAGTTGCATATTTCGAAGTCCAATCTGAGGGCGTTTTGAAAACTAAAATATCAGGTCCGGTTTCCGAGATATTCGATAAAAAACAAATAAGTATCATTTCTTTATTCCGCTACAGAACGTTTATTTGCAAAAATAGACAAAAACTCATTTAAAGTTTTTTGTTTTATATCAAATTGTGCGTATGATAGCGTATTTAGTTTTTTTATCCGACGTTTCGTAAATGCAGGACCACCATCAACTTCTTTATTTGAATATGGACCAATATTTTCCTGGCTCATAATTTTAATGCATGTTCAATGTTGAATACAATGATGTAATAACATATTGTGATTAGTCAACATTTCGGAAGATTTGAACATCATCAGGTAAGTTTACAAGTACGGACCTATGTTTTGTTAGTTAAAAATATTTGAATTAGTAAATGATGTATTATCAGTGCAAGAAATCAGGTACGTTTACTTGTACAGACCTGTATTATAAATTATTTGAAATACACAACTACATTTTAAATACTTAAAATAATTTAATAAAAAAAATATGTATTTAACTACTTAATCACGTCAGAAACAAATAAATGAAAACAATGATTAACGATAAGAGAAAAACTACAGTAGTTGCTCAAAATGTCCTCCTTCTTCTTGAATACATAAGTCAATACGGTCTGTCATTTGAGCTATGCTGGCAGAAACCATTTGTGGAGTGATATTATTAAATATTTACCACGTTTTTTTTCAATATTTCCTTCGTGAGCCATATTTAACGCTATCCTATAATAAATTAATAAAGATGGTTGCCTCCTTCCTGGATACAACTGAAGGTATCTTTCTGCAGCTTCTCCACTATTTCTGTTACATTTTATGTACACATCGTACATATCTTTTTTCTCACTTCTACTGTAACGAACCATATTTTCAATACCCTAATTAAAAATATACCAATGCTTTTATCCGATACCAGACTGTCAAATATACAATAATAAAATGTGACATGCCAGGTTAACTTGATTTAAATTTATCTGTATAATAATCAAGACGTGTTGCTAGATATACAATTATTATTGTAAGTAGGTATCTATCTGCAGTTTGTTAACTTTTTCTTTTTTATACTATGAGGAACCATATCAGTTTAAAAAATCCAACAAAATATGACAAATCAGGCTAACTTTATGTATTTAAAAATCGGGATGTACTTTATTTATAGATTAATATTGGGATTTGTCAAGTGCAAAAACCATAAAAATGGAAAATATTTTTTAGCAAATGTGTAAACGAACATGTTGTCTTGATGTAAAGTTAAAAGTTTGACTTTGGTATTTATTATTTATAATCTCTTACAACGATAATACATCATTTACTAATTCAAATATTTTTAACTAACAAAACACAGGTCCGTACTTGTAAACTTACCTGATGATGTTCAAATCTTCCGAAATGTTGACTAATCACAATATGTTATTACATCATTGTATTCAAAATTGAACATGCATTAAAATTATGAGCCAGGAAAATATTGGTTCATATTCAAATAAAGAAGTTGATGGTGGTCCTGCATTTACGAAACGTCGGATAAAAAAACTAAATACGCTATCATACGCACAATTTGATATAAAACAAAAAACTTCAAATGAGTTTTTGTCTATTTTTGCAAATAAACGTTCTGTAGCGGAATAAAGAAATGGTACTTATTTGTTTTTTATCGAATATCTCGGAAACCGGACCTGATATTTTAATTTTCAAAACGCCCTCAGATTGGACTTCGAAATATGCAACTTTTTCCCCATTTAACCAACTTTGTGTTACCAACGGTTTACGAGATAGCAATACATTTCAATGAAAAAGTGGCCACCCTGTATACCCTCCAAAATCTAGAAAGCAGTAGGTTAATATAAATGTTATACGATTTTTATTAATTCTGTGTAAATCATTTCATTAGTAAGAGTAACATTAAAATAAGACAAGCACAAATAAGAAGACGGACATTTCCAGCCATCATATTAGTAATCTATAAATTTGTTATAATTGTTGATTTTTTTTTTTACTTTTTTACCTTTTTATGATCAAAATCAAAAGATTGACAAAAAGCAGTGGAGTACCAAACATTTTTTTAAATTAAAACTCATTATTACCCTTTCGTGCGCCACTGGTAAAACCAAAACGACTTCTTATTCTTGCTGTAGTCAAAATTTTAATATTTTCACATAGTTTTAACTTGATCCTTTTTTGTTTTCTAGATATTTGCGAAAAACTTTTTTTTTTGTTTATTTCAATACTTACTTTTTTCTTTTCGATTCAGTGTTCTTTTAATAAGCTCATTCTTTCTCTTTTCTCACATAAAAATATGTCGAAATTGCTTGAAAGATTTTTGACAACTTGTAGTATTCACGTTTCAGTATCACCATCTGATGAGCATTGAAATGTCATTTACTATAAGAAGAAAATTTAATCGAAAAAAATTCTTTTCTTATAAAAAAAGCTCCGCCCATGAGAGTCTTTGCCATTGACAGTGAGCAGTGACATTTTTTTATTCAAATATATTGCAAACAAACGAACAATGCATTAGCTATTACCATACAAACTGCTTCCAATTTGGAGGTTACACACCTACCTAGTTGTTTTTCTAATGAACTTCGTTTCGGCTTGGCCTGGCCTTGTATGCTCGTCCGTTGATCATGATCAGTCTCTAAAAACGTTTTTTCATTGTTCCATTGAACTTTACATTCCTACCAAACTAATATTCCCCCCTAGCTATATTGCAATTTAATTTTATTGCATGCATACAATATATACAGTGAGTGGCAAAACTTAAAAGATTTAAAATTTGAATCATGAGAAAACTGGATCAGAAGTACAATTTTGGAAGCTACACCCTCATGAACAATGAAAAAGGTTTAAAAAGTTGGAACATAGAAAGAACGACAAAGAAAAATAACATATTAATATTTGGTCTTGATCTTGATAGTATCATACAAAGGACTAACAAATAATTAAACGTGCAAATTGAGTATATAGATATAAACTAGGAAAATTTAAAACTAGCCCCTTGAAGATTGAATTTATTTCATACTTTAAAAAATTAGAAATACTTAAAAATTGCAAAAAACTTAAAGGTAGATGTGTCCAATGTAGATAAACAAGAGGAAGCAGGATCCATGATATTTGTTTTTGCTTAAAAAGTATTTTTAAAATAAAGCTCATCTATCTTCTCCATTTTCTTTAAATGTAAATGAAGAGTAATAATTTTTTCATAGGTATTTACTTTTTCATTTATTTTCAGATTGGCACTGACACAAATTTGTCAATGAATACAGAAGAACTAGATGTTACAAATAACATGGAATCTCAAGTTAGAAGTAATAATCATTCAAACACAAATGGCAGTATTATCACCATGACAATGAAAAATAATCATCTAATCGTCGAAACAGAAGAAAGAAACGTAAGTATTATTATTTAACGACAAAAAATACAGGGTGAAACAATAAAAGTAATATATTGCTTTTTTGTGGTGGTATTTCTAACTTTGTTTTATACAGAACAGTGAGACGCCATTAATATTTGTTTGAATAGAGATCAACAAGTAAGAGATATGTTTAGAGACTTTCTGTATTACAATTTTACAATTATAACCCATTAATATATTTAATATGTCAGAATTGTAAATAAACTTATAAGATTAATTCCTCTAAGTCTGGTTTTGGCCAGTATTGCTACAAAGAGAATAACCTGCTTTCTTATATTTTTAGCAGGCTCTAAAGTAAAAACAAAATACAAAACAGTGCAAATAATATTTATTTATATAAGTTAGTTTTAATCAAAGAAAAAAAAAAGTAAACAGTGAACATTTTATTACACTTCTATAGTTATTGATTAACTTTTTCAAAAAAAAGACCATAAATAACATTAGCTTAGCACAAATAATTTGTTGAAAAAACATTTATCTTTAATTTCATCCTGTTCAGTTTTACCTGTACTTATTTTTCACATGACATCAACATGAATTATTCTGATTTATGTTGCCCCAAACAACTGTTTAAAACTTACTTAAAAATAGAAAAAATTCGTTGACAACCTACTTTGGAGAATGACAAAGTTAAAACATTAGATAGAGCAGTTATTACAAGATTTGCAAATTTTTTGTTTAACAACTACTTCATTAACATCATCACCATTATTATCATCGTCATTACAAGGAGTAGCTGAAGGTACATACATAATCAAACTTTTCCTCCTCTCTGATCTATAAAACATTATAACTTAAAACATTAGATAGAGCAGTTGTTACAAGATGTGCAAATATTTTGTTTAACAACTACTTCATCAACTTCATCACCATTATCATAAACGTCATTACAAGGAGTATCTGACACTCCAGATAAATAATCAAAACTATTTCTCCTCTCTCATTTATAAAAGGGTACTTCTTAAGGGTTAAAGTATTTATTTTCTCACAGTTGTGTGACCCCAGTACCTCCTGTTTAATTTTCTCAGCTTCAGCTCTGCTGTTAAACTTCAAGAGAGTTTTGTTGAACTTTGCAAAGATAGAAAGTCCTCGTGGATCCAATTTAGCAAGGTCAGAAAAAAGTTTTTGTAAAATAAATCGAAATATCGTGTCAGACTTGAAGTACAAGATTTAATAATGACAAGAAATATTTAAACTTCAAATATCTTTTTTGGATTTTCAACATGGCTTGTGTTGAATGCCTTCATGTACAATCCAAATATGAAAGCTTTTTGGTTGTCAGGGGATTTTTTACTGAAATTCATTCTTGTCTAGTAGTTCAGTGGTCTAGGCATATCAAAAATCAACATTTGAACACATAAAACTACAAAAACAATTTATTACAAGAGAAAATCAAAGGTTATATCAAAATTGGACGAAAGTTGGTCTTTAAGTGAAGTGGGTGCTGAATTAAATGTAGTACAAGGCCTACAATTTATCAAAGGCTTAGTAGATATTACTTAATCTCAAAACCGTTAAACCGTTAAATTAGACGGGATAGATGGAAAAATGAAGTCAAATATCTAGGCCTAACCATGGACAACAAACTACTCTGGAACACACATGAGAAGGAAGTAGTAAATAAGGCTACAAATGCCCTAATGGTATGCAGAAACATTGCAGGTAAACGATGGAGATGTAACCCAAACATACTGCGATGGATGTATACTGCAATAGTAAGTAATCATCACTTACGGGGCTATAGCCTGGAGTAACAGAACTAGTTTAGTTACTACGGGAGCTAATATCTCAAAAGTACAAACACTAGCCTGCGTTTGCATTACTGGTGTAATGAGAACCTGTCCTACGGCCGTAGTGGAGGTGATCTTAAACCTCACCCCTCTACATTTGATGATAGAGAATGTGGCAAAAAGAACACGATATAGAATGATCAGGAACGGAGTATTCAGACGAAAGTCTACTTGCTTCAGGACTAAAGATACCTGGGGCATGCCCCAGGATGAAATACTAAAGAAGTAGTTTTGTGGAGAACTTCAAAATGACAGAGCTGGGCTGCAAGAAAGAATGGAGCCAAGAATCCATCGCGCTTGCAACCGAAAGACTTGCTATTCAGTGGTATACGGACGGTTCCAAAACCATAGAAGGAACTGGAATAGGAGCTGAGAACCAAGCACTTAGAAAGCTTGGGAAAATACCCAAGCATCTTCACGGAAATTCACGCCATCGAGAAGTGTATCTAGTTTAATATCGAGAGAAACTATCATAGACAAGAGAGTTTCATCATGTCCAATAGTCAAGCAACCATCAAAGCGCTGAGCTCTTAAGTAATCAGCTCAAAAATGGTCTAGAAAGGCCTAGAACAATTAAATGAGCTAGGCGAGAAAAATTGAGTTATTCTCACTTGGGTTCCGGGACATAACGAGGTACAGGGTAACGAGATTGCAGATAGTCTTGCAAGGAAAGGGGCTCAAACACTCTTTGTAGGACCTGAGCCGTTCTGCGGTATCAGCAGTAACATAATATTAGGAGAGATTAAAACAGAATTGGGCAGTAGAAGAACCGATAATTGGAACAATCTCTTGGGGCTGAAACAGGCCAAGATACTTCTGGGTGAATATAACCAGAAAAGATCGGAAGCCTGGATCTGCCTGAGCAAGAACAGACTACGTATTGTAACAGGGATCCTTACCCGGCATTGCCGACTAAAAACAGAGTAGTAGATAGTAGTGTAGATTCTATGAGGAGGAGGACGAAACCTCCATTCACATCCTAACTGAATGTGTAGCACTCCAGAATCAAAGGGCACTATATCTAGGAGGATATCAAATAGAAGAGGGAGATTTACCTAACTTGAAGCCACTTCAAATCCTATATTTCCTTTAGAAAATAGGATTGGAAGGGTCGTTATAGGCATTGAGACATTTCCTTAGTGCATTGGCGACAGAAGGGCGCACAATAGATCTTTTAGGTCGCAGTGTATTAACACCCCATTCCCAACATAACATAACAGTAGATATTAAGAAATACTGTAGATCAAATCTTTACTTCTGCTTCTATCTACCCATTAACATGAAGTGTTTTAATTATTAAAGATTTTTATCCAAATTATGTTCACTGTTTGTCTTGACTACGCACATGGTATTGTCAATCGTATTGTCAAAAAATAACAACCATTATGTTATTAAAACGAGTAAAATTTCGGGTTACGTAACAACTTGAATTTATGAGTCGAATAAAAAAGCAAAACGTGCTATAGGCAGGTGTATAAAAGTAGTTCTCTTCTACTTGGAAAGGAATTAAAGGTTGTACTGAAAAATATGTTATTATAACGACAGCATTAAACAGATAAATTTAATGAGAACGATAAAATGGTGGAACGATGTTTTTTGACGTAATTATTAAAAGAAATATTACTACCGTTTTAATAAGCCAGGAAGTAAAACTGTTTATTTGTTTAGTAAGTAGGGACTGCACTGTTATACAGGACATAACTAACTATAGAGCTGGAACATTAAAAAAATCCAAAAAAACTAACTCTGTTTTATATATTATTTCTGGAATAAAAAAAAACGATTTGCTATGTCAGAATGGCAAAGTTGGAAAATAAACACTTAAACAAATCTTTTGGAAAGGTTAGGTTAGGTTAGGTTAGGTTAGGTTAGGTTAGGTTAGGTTAGGTTAGGTTAGGTTAGGTTAGGTTAGGTTAGGTTAGGTTAGGTTAGGTTAGGTTAGGTTAGGTTAGGTTAGGTTAGGTTAGGTTAGGTTAGGTTAGGCTAGGTTAGGTTAGGTTAGGTTAGGTTAGGTTAGGTTAGGTTAGGTTAGGTTAGGTTAGGTTAGGTTGGGTTAGGTTAGGTTAGGTTAGGTTAGGTTAGGTTAGGTTAGGTTAGGTTAGGTTAGGTTAGGTTAGGTTAGGTTAGGTTAGGTTAGGTTAGGTTAGGTTAGGTTAGGTTAGGTTAGGTTAGGTTAGGTTAGGTTAGGTTAGGTTAGGTTAGGTTAGGTTAGGTTAGGTTAGGTTAGGTTAGGTTAGGTTAGGTTAGGTTAGGTTATGTTAGGTTAGGTTAGGTTAGGTTAGGATAGGTTAGGATAGGTCAGGTTAGGTTAGGTTAGGTTAGGTTAGGTTAGGTTAGGTTATGTTAGGTCAATAATATGTCAATAATAGAATTTTAAATAATATAAAATATTGTTCAAGCCAAAATTCATTATATCACTCTAGCACGAGTTATATCACCCATACTACATAAGAATATAGAGAAGTACGATTTTGCATAGTTAGCATTTCAGAATAGTTTGTTTGTATAGAAGTAGTTTATTCAGTAGCATTCAAACCACAAACATCTAATTTCTTGTATTTAAGTAAAATAAAAGTTTTTAAAAAATAATTTTCGGTTCGAGATTTCATTTCTCACGCAATAAATGAAATTATTCATCAAGAATTTTTAGTTTCTAAGCTTCTTTAGGTATAAAACCACTCTTTTACTGCAGATGACTTCAAAAAGAGTCATTCTCCAAATAAATTTACCCTCTATTACAACTTTTAAATAGTTCATAACTTTATTCTCTAATTACTTCGTACATTTTCTATTTTTCTTTTTCATTTATTTCTTAGAATGACTTAAATATTGAGTTAAACTTTAATCATGAGATTGCTGAAAACGGAACAACCGGAATAACTGCAATGTCTTATTCATTCCAACATGATAAATACCTTTGAGACTAGTTTCTCAAGAGTAATTTTGCCGGAGAAATAACTTGGTGAATAAAGCATAATCATGTTTTTGAAATCCACGTTCAATTCCTTAGCTTCAAGAGATCTAAATAGTCGAAATTTATAAACTGTTTTTTTTTGCAAGAAATGAAAATTACAGAGCTGAATTTTCTACACTACAAGAAATTATTATAACAATAACAAATCTAAACATGTTAATTAAATTATCTTAAAATCAAACTTTAAAAACGTACAAACTAAGTGAGAGTGATAGGGTATCTAATTTGGGACACATTTGTTGTCATCAATTGGAAGCAGAATAATTTTGGTAATTGGCCTGGTGTAAGAACCATCTTTTGTAAAAACTTCGGCTGCACGAACTTTGCCGTCTTTGGTGACGCGAGCCAATGGTAATTTAAGCGGGGTTTATATACAAATGTACAGTTAAGGATACGTAATTATTTATGGTGGATGACAGGAGGTTCGGTTATGGGTAAAGGGACGATCTTGACGATAGAGCGTACATACACACCAGAAGTAGTGCTTATACAGATCGGACTTCCCTATCCTTACCAGGGATCACGTCAACGATCCGTGCTAATGGCCACTTCAAGGGCGGAGTATCATCTTCTTTGAGGAGTACCATTTCGTCAGATTTGAAGATCTCTACGGGAAGTAGGCCACTTAGAACGGTCTTGGAGTTGGTTGAGATAGTCTACTGACCACCGCTTCCAAAAATTCTGTTGCACATAGGTGCATTGCTGCCAAAACTTTAGCCTGTTAACGGTTGTCAGGGAAATATCTTTGTCAGGCAGTGACATCAACGGGGCTCCGATTAAAAAATTTCCTGGGGTGAGAGGATTCAAATCATTAGGATCTGAAGAGAGGGGAAATAATGGTCTTGAGTTCAGTATGGCCTCAATCTGGAAGAGAACATTGTACAACTGTTTAAAGGTAAAAATTAAGTTACTAAGCACTTAAGTAAGTGAGACTTTACACTTTTAATGCCAGCTTCCCAAAGACGCCAAGATGGCCCAATGGGGGACCTTGGAAGGATAAACTTCCAGTCAATGGAAGAAGTGAGTAAATAATCATATACAGGAGACAATTTTTGTATTAGAAACTGTGATAACTCTTTAAGCTGGCTATTAGCACCTACAAAATTATTTGTGTTACTGCTATATATAACCGATGGAAGTCCTCTTCGTGAGGTATACCGTTGCACATTACTTTCAATACTGCAAATCCCAGAGATTTGAGATCATTGATTGTATGGCTTAACACCTATTTTTTGAACAAGAGAGATAGTGATAAAAGACAATTGACTACCAGAATCAAGAAGTGCTCTAGCGATTATAGGACGACCAGTTTTTGGATATAAGCAAACTTGAGCAGTTGCCAATAGTACATGAGCCCCTTTTGTTGTTAGCACTGATAACAATGAGGTTTTCTGTGGAGTGACAGAGTGATTATTTGATTGGAAAGAGGTCGAGGGCATATTATGGTCCAATATTTGGGAACGACATATTTGTGTGGGTGCAGAATTATTGAGAGATTGCTGATCGTATGAAGCTTGTGTTTGATTTTTCAATACAATTTCCAGAAAAAGTAGGTAAATTTATATTTGGTAAACGAATATTTCTATTATTGACAGATAAATTTGGAGTATTTGAGAAAGTAATTGAATCCAAGCAATCTTGCTTACTTTTATTGTCTAAACAGTTAATTTCAAAAGATTCACGATCTTCTGAATCTTTGTCAGCATACTTAATTTCAATTTGATCTTGAATGTTAATATATTTTGATAAATATGATGACACCAAGTAAATTCTGTTCAATATTTGATTTTTGCTAATTAATGAATCTTTATTTTCATGATACCAATTGATAGTGCGTGTAATCTGAGCTTTGCAAGTCTTCCATATTTATGATTTACTTTACCCTTAACCTATGATCTTCAAATGTGGATATGATTGAAAATTGGATTTCTTAAGTGGATACTGCTTGAGATTTTTGTAGAGAACTGCGACTAGTGGGAATCTGAATCTGTTTCTTATTTTAGGGGATACTGGTTTAGTGGAAATCTTCTGTGTGAAAATCTACTGGGCCTTTCTTCTTTAAGTGGACCATGTTTATTAGATCTGGCTCGAAGGACCATGAATCAAAACGGAAGGAAATTTTTAAAGTTTCTTTTCAATTGTGATTTGGGGTGCTAACTTAGATTTAATTGAAATTGTGACTGGTTGTGGTAAATCAATTTATTCGCTGGCCAGCATACAATTTGAGATACAACTAGTGAGTAGCGGGGAGTTTAGGGCAACTACTGCTTTCTTTTTTGGTGTTGGTGTGGTTTTGTTTTACATAATACTGATGTCACAAAAAAATAATATATCATTATGACAGTTACCAAAGCAACTCTTATATACAGGTTGATTACTTTTTCTTGTTAAAAAGTGAATTTTTAACAGTAATTGATATTTTTTGTTCTAGGATTTGGAGGAAGACAGCCGAGAAACAACAATGACGTACTCGCCTAGCGCGCGAAATGGTGTATTTGTAGTTGAGGTACAGCAAGGAGTGAGAAGAAGTCCAGGTTCAGGTGGACCAACTTCCTGTATCGATCCAGCATCAGTGTCCGTCAGCGACCAGTGTGCTCTGGTGCATAATCCACCAGACAAGTAAGATACAATGTACCTAACTAAGTAACAACATCTTAAATGCTATTGGTATTTTGGCTTGCTTACTAACATATTAACATATGTCCTAAAGGTTATCATAATTTACAATTCAATAGTTAACTATACTATCGAATTATGTATGCGAAGTGTCCCATACTGTTCCACCAGGCTCAAATTTCTTTCAGATGTCTCTTATGAGGTCTTGGATAGAATTAAAATCAATTTCTTTTTAGTTGTTCTTCACCTGTTACAATAATGCCTTTAATGGACGAACCTGAAACAAGTTTGGAGGATTGTCGCTTGTGGGGCAAACAAAAGGTATGTGGTGGTGTTGTTGAAGTATGTTTTGGGCAAAGGCACGAAGCCAAGTCTGGTTAAAACATGATATCGTCATTAGCATGACGTTCGTGGACAAACTGAATCAATTTGGAAAGGCAGTTATCAATAAAGTTCTGACTATTCAGAGATTCGCCTCTTATTTTTTCTCAAAACGTCGGCACAAGACAGGGATTTTATCCAAAAATTTTGCTTTATACGAGTATTTGTATCTATATAACATTATCCGGACACCCCTCTATTGTGTCCCTTTAAAACTCATCGTTTTCTTTAATTTCAGAATCATTTAAATTTAAATAAGTTGAGTCATCTAAAAAAGGTTTTTTTTTTCGGCAAAGTGCAGCCACTTCAGTTGATAGCAGGGTCTCTTGTATATTTGTGGCACTTGCGCCATATTGACGAGGCAGTCTCCTCCTTGATAGCCCAACTTTGTTTTCTGCTCTGCTTACACCAATCTCTTTGCCCTCTATGCAGTAAGTACTGGTCTTTCACTTTTTGGTATATTCAGATTCAAATGGTGATACGTGAAATATTCAAAATATTACAACTTTGGGTACCCGCCTAAACAAGTTGTAAATACTTTCTCTTATTTCTAATTTATACACCTTAAAGAAAAAATAGTTAACTCTCAAAGGACAGTCAAGAAAGTAAGCAATCCAAAAGTAACTTGATATTATTTTATTTTTGTTCAAATTAACTACTTAATCTTGTGCAAGAACATCTAGGATATATATTACTGAATTTTATAGAAATATTGTCAATAATTCAAGTCTTCTTTAGATACAGTGACGAAGAAACTCTAGAAGAGTACGACGACAGTGAATATTACATAGAAACCGTCTCTCCAAATACAGAAACACCAGATTCGCTCTCCTCCAAAGCAAAAACAGGTCTAGCTCAATCGAATACTAGCCTCAACTATCCATCCTACTGTTACACCAACCAAACTTGTTACGACATCAACAGCTACGGTTGCAGCCAATATGCGGGTTATAAGATTTGCAATGAACAGACTGCTTGTAAAGACGTTGATGATACTAGACCAAAAATAACTGCTGCTGTTTATAAGTCTGGTTTGAAAAGGAGTCCAAGTACTGAAGATCTTCATTTAGCTTCTATAAATGGAGTTGTAGATGATGGGGGTAACACTAAGAAAGATTATTCTTTAGAAGACCAAATTAGGTAGGATTTCAGTTACAAGAAAGTTTATTATAATTTACAAACCGAATAAACTTTGACAGTGAACAATTTAAAAATCGTTAGGTAAAACTGTGTTTTATCTACCTCATAAATTTTTAAGAATTTTTTTGCAACCGGCTTTTCCAATTAAGTTTTTATAGTAATCAAAACTTTTATTAAACAACGTATTCTACTATTCGATATACCCTCTATCTAACTCTATTTATGTATTTTTGCCCATCTTCTTGTGGGCTTCATAATACCTTTTTGTAATAGAAATTTTTAGAGGTGGGAAATATATGTCCCGGAGAAACTCAAAAGCAAAGAAGAACCGTAGAGTTTCACTGGGAAGATAATATCTCTGCTTTTGTCAGAGGCCTTCCAGAGCTCCATATTATGTTCTATAATTTAACAAATAAAAAAAGATAGAACGGGTATACGTTTGTATAAGGCAAAATGGGCTTTTTTTCTCTTCTCCTGGGCTCGTCTGACTATGTCTCTGAATAACACTGAATCCTATTGGCTTCTTGTGTTTTGCCCTATGTTAGTTCATAGCACCGACTCTGTCACGTTACAAGTTTGTACAGATCCTTGGGTGAGTGAGTTCTATACGTTGGATCAACCTAGGGTGGTCCAAAAAGTGCCTGTCTTTTGCGATCTAAAGCTTTGTATTTGCACAGTATGTGTTTGGCCGTTTCTGGTTTCTTGTGACATACTCGGCACATGAGTTCCCATTGTACATGCCAATTTTGTTCAAGTTTCCCTTTACTGGGGCGTGCCCAGTCATGAATCCTGTTATCACTTTCAACTGGTTCCTATTTATAAAGAGAGATTCTCCAGTTCTTTTGCAACATGGTCTGCCTATGAAGGCTTTTGCATTGTAATGTTAATATGTTGTTCCCGAATCCAGTCGTTTTTGAAACCCCGGACTGTACTTTTTGGTACTTCTGGGTTTGTGTCTTGGTTCCGGTATTTCTTCTGACCCTCTTTTTGCTAGTTCGTCAGCCTTTTCGTTGCCTTCGATCCCTTGGTGACCTGGCACCCAAAATAGTTTTACTCTATTTCGGTCTGCCAGTGTTCTTCGTTTTTCGATGCGTTCCAATACCAGCTTCGACGTAACTTTCTAACTCGATATGGCCTTAAGTGACGCTTGGCTGTCTGATATTATTTGAATATGCAGATTTTCGAGAGCTCTTTCATTGTTCGTTTTTGCACATTGCAAAATTGCGTATACCTCGGCCTGAAATACCAAGGAATGTATTCCTATAGCATATCTATGGTTAGTATTAGGGTTTTTGGAGAATACTTCCGCCCCAGTGCCTTCCGCAGTCTTAGACCCGTCTGTATACCAGGTTTGTTCCTGTCGTTGGGCATTAAGCTCCCTTATGGTGATCTCCGCTCTTTCCTGTATTAAAACCTCAAACGGAGTATTAAAAGAGTATCTCTTGGTTATGTGGTCTGATCTTATGTCTAGCACGTCTCCTGCCAGTAACCTTGAGATACTCATGTGACCTGGCCTAATGTCAAGATTTCCCAGTGTATTACCTCATCTGTAAGCACCTTATCTTGTCCTCCCTTGTATCACATAGTGAAGAGGTGAGCGTCCTATTAGTGCTTCCATTGCAGCTGTGGGGGTTGTTTTCATTGCCCCCGTTATTTTGAGGCAGGCAAGTCTTTGTACCTTGCTTAGCCTCGTTATTGATTTCCTTTGCTGTATCTTTGGCCACCACACCAAAGCTGCGTATGTTATTATCGGTCTAACCACCATGTTATAAAGCCAATATACCATGTCTGGTTTTAACCCCCATTTTTTTCCAAAGGATCGCCTTGTCATCATTAACGAGGTTTCCGCTCTCTTTGTGGGTTTTTCTAGATGTTGCTTCCAGGTAAGACTCGAGTCAATTATAACCCCGAGATATTTTACCTCCCCCTTAAGCTGGATGCTTGCACCTCTTAGGTTTAGAGGCCCTAGTCCCTCCAATTTCCTCCTGCGGGTAAATGCAATTATGTAAGATTTGTTTGGGCTAATGTTTAGTCCTTCCACCTCTGTCCATTTTGTTACTATATTTAGAGCTTCTTGCATTCGATCTCTTACTATAGTGTTGTATTTTCCTTGTGCCATGATCACTAGATCATCGGCATATCCCAGGGTTCTATGTCTCTTATCCTTGAGAGCCCTAAGCAGCTCGTCCACTACAAGGTTCCACAGGAGTAGAGACAGCACTCCACCTTGCGGACATCCTCTCGCTACATGTGCCGCTAATGTCTCTTCCATAAGGGTTGTGTGTATAGTTATTTCCCTTAACATAGGGTCGATCCAGGACACGCACGTGTCCTCGATGTCTCTGTGTTTGAGAGATTTAATGATAATTCAACGGAGATATTGTAAAATGCACCCTCGATATCCAAGAATGCTCCCAGCATTACCTCCTTGTTTTCCAATGTGTTCTCCATCCCTTTTATTAAGTGATGGAGAGCTGTTTCAGTTGATTTCCCTGCACTATAGGCGTATTGATCTTGGTATATTAGCCTCTGAATTAATATTTCGTCTCTAATATGCCTATCTAGTAGTTTTTCCAAAGTCTTAAGTACAAAGGACATAAGATGTTTCCAAAATGGGCTTTAGTAATGTGTCCTAATTCAAAATATTTTTTTGAAAAAATTATATACTTTCTTTTACAACAAAACTTTAGAAAATAATAGCCTACTTATCTACTAAACCTATAGATGTCACTATCTAAACTGCTCTCAAAAAGTTGGCACATGTAGTTCTCACTAAAACTCCTGTAGTAATTATTTTTGTGGGGTGGGAAATTATTATCCCAGAGACACTTAAAGGGTTAAATATCAAATAAACACTTTGATACGAAAAAGAACGTAACACTCTATTTTTAATGTTTTTTCAAGGTCAGTATATGACAAGAGGACCACCTCAACGGCAACAACTTCTTCGAGGGATTTGGGCAAAGCCAAAATCGTCGGTGACGTTGCGTCTAACACGAACGTCAAGGAAACGGAAACGGGGTCTACGGATTACGAAAATGAAGGGTTCGAGTGCAACGACTTGGCCAAAAGTTAAAGATCACTGTTATTATAACACAACTATTATTGGGTACTATTAAGTAGTACCTTTCTGTGTATCTACCTGTTTGTTGTTGGATGTTTGCAGTCTGGTAGTTTTATAATTTTCGAGTATGAGTTAGATTTTCTGGGAAAGGCAGATGGGTCGAAAAAATGAGCTCCATGTCAATCAATCGTGTTGTATCATTTTACGCTTTTATCCACGACTATTATATAGAGTGGTCCAGTTAATATCGTCAGGATTTTACTAGCCGAAAGTTTGTTTGAAAAATAAAAGTAGTTTGTCCGATAATATACAGGGTGTTTCTAAATTCATGCGACAAAATTCAGGATGTGATTGCTCGTATGAAATTAAGATGGGTTTCTCCTATAACAAAATTTCCTCAGCCCACCCCTTTCCGAGATATCACTCTTAAAAAATGGTGACTAAAATTGAGTTTTTATTTTGTTTTCTAAAATGTATTTTGGCTAGAGGTGGTCATTTCCATCCTTTATTATGAATCGTATTACATATTACATCTTTACTGTGTTCCACTCAATTTATTAAAAAAATTATAAATTATGGTGTTTATTTTTTTCTCTGCAGCTATTGGTTTTGGGAAAAAATTTAGGAATAAAAAAAATGTTTAAATAAAACAAACTTCATCCTGAAAAAAGTTTTGATATGAAATAAAGTAAGGATTGCTAATTTCACTCCCCTATAATGTAACAGGAATACTGAAAAAATACCCGTGGTTAGTCCTTTGCGAAAGCACGAAAATTACAAATTTTCATGTTTCTAGCTTTACTGCAATTTTAGAAAAAAAAATAAAAACTCTGTTTTAGTCACTACCTTTTAAGGGTGATATCTCACAAAAGGGTGGGCTGACGAAATTTTGTTATAGAAAAGACCCATCTTAATTTCATACGAGCAATTACCTCCTGAATTTTGTTGCATGAATTTAGAACACCCTGTATGATCTAATCTTGTTTTTTTTTAAAACTAGTTTTTTTATTATTATTATTATTATCTAAAAATCACTTTGATCGATTTTAATGAAATGTTCAGTTTGTTGATAACTACAGTAATTTTATCTTTTAGATATCTTACAGTTGATCCAGTACCTCCAGAGGCGTGCTCATAGGGCACGTAGATTAGGATCTGGCACAAACAATCTCGCCTAGTAGATTTTTTGTTTTTTAAAATTCTTTTAAATAAACGAACTAAAAATACAACTTTTTTAAATCTTATATTTCAAGAAAAAAAAAATTAAAACTAATAATTTTCCATTGAATATTCGAACCCTGTATATCAAAAATAAAGCAAAATTGGATCAAAGTACCTCTATTTTTCGCTAATCTATCAGCTGATGAAATCCTCCTGACGATATAAACTGGACTACCCTGTAAAAAATAAACATTATGTATATGTTTTCCTAAGATTAATATCCATTATTTACAAGTGAATAGTGATATGAAATCATTATTCATTGTCATTTAAAGTCAAATATTTTAGACATTCATAAATTAAAAACAAAACATGATCTAAAACTCACCTGGTATTACATATATTAGAAGTACAAGAATTCACCGATCTGAAATAAAAAAATAGAAAATCAATGATACAATATTATTAAAGAAAAAATAAATTCCGGCAACAGTTATCTAATTAAATGTAACTTTGGGTAAAATTTTCATATATTATACAAGACAACTGAAAATTCTCGATTATACAAAATGTATGGCCTGAAACACCTCGAGACCGCAGATCGAGCGGTGTTTTTTAGTCAATAAACCGATTTTTTTTTAATAAAAATTCAAAATTATATATTTCGCATAAATACAGACACCCCAAAAAATGATAATTTAATGTAAGTTACCTCTATACCAAGTTATACCAAAAAAAGAAAGGAAACTTATTCCAGATTATCAGGTCGGCTCTAGAGAAAACCGTTCAACTATAGATCAGGTTCATAGAATCTCAAATGCGATTGAAAAATCATAAGAACATAAATAAGTCTGTTCAGCCACCTTCATCGATGTTGCGCAGGCTTTTGATCAAGTATGGCATGATGGCTTATCAGAATGTGCTACTTCCTCAGACATACTCAGAAAAAAATCTAGGCAGGAATGCCACAGAGAAGCATCCTGGGACACACTTTGTATCTTTTCTACACTTATGACATACTCCAATTAGAACAAGTCACAACAGATACTATTTGAAGATGATACTGCTATCCTAGCCATAGGTAAAGATCATGAAGAGACTATAAATAAACTAAAAACATCGGATAATCAAATAAATAACTGGACCAAAAGATGGTGTAATAAACTAAACGAAAGCAAATCTGATAATATTAATTTTACTAACAAAAATGGTCAAAGAATACCAATTAAAATAAATGGTAACTTAGCAAAATATCTAGTTATTGCACTAGATGCAAGATCCATGTTAAAAAGAAAAGATAAGGGTTAAAGAAAAAGTACTTGTTACTTGGTAGGCATTCCAGTTTATCTACACATAACAAAATTATCTTATATATACAAGTCCTCAAACCAATTTGGTCATATGTCATTCAGCTCTAGGGTTTTGCTAGCAACAGTAATATACTGAAAATCCAGAGAATCCAGAACAAAGTATTAAGCGTACCAACCTGTCAATACCTGTTTCGTATTCTTGAAGAGTCTCGTCTCGTTTCTGTTTGCAATTCTTTAACTGTGATTGCTATAAATGCTCCTAGTGTTAATAGCCATATCGCATGTTTAGTCTATTTTTAAATTGTTCAAAGTCATCTATCTCTTCCACAGGTATAGTCTGAAAAAGATCTAAAGCGTTTCCATGAAGGGCGATGGTTAGATTTACTGCTTTTTCTCCTTCAGACCTGTCATTCGCTCTCGCAGCTGTTTCGAACTCTTTCAGGGAATTAATCCATGACATCTATCCATCAAAAATTGGGGTTTTAACAAAGTTTCCTTCCAATTTCAGATTTATTTCACCGTTCTTTGCCTGTTCTGTGTTCTCTAATTCTTCTATCTTCTTTTTCATCTCTTTTATTTTCTCCTGCACCTTGAAATTTCTTTACCACCTGAGGCAAATTGATAAATTACTTTACTATTTACCCCTCCAATATTCAAAAGAGCATGAAAAATGGTCATTGAAATAAGAATAACAGATTTATTTTTTTTGGGTACGTATGAGCAGTAAACCCAAAAATGGATGACTCTGCGTTTCTCTTGGGAGATGGCATAAATTCCAAAGGAATAAATGTTTTGTTTTTTTTCACTGTCCCAACAAATGTCAACTTTAATTTCTCTAATTCTCTCATTAGTTCAACTGAGGAGTACCAGTTATCGGCTGTTATGTTTCGAGAAGTATTTTTTATTGGTTCCACCAAACGAAGAACTACTTGGGTTGGATTAGAAAAGTTGTTTGTTTTTTCTCTGCGTAAATTTCAGCATTTAGTATATAATGTGTTTGAGAAACTGCAAGCGTTTGTACCTTTATGCCGTACTTTGCGGGTTTGTTGGGTATGAACATTCGAAATCCACAACGGCCTCTAAAAGGTACTAACATTTCATCTACAGTCATAATATCACCAGGTGTATAGTTTTGCTTTGAATTAGTAACAAATTTATCAAACATTTCAGAAATTGGTGCTAGTTTATTTTCATTTCTTCTATCCGCTCGAGTAGTCTCGTCATCGAAACGAATGCAGCATAAAAGAAATGAAAATCTGGCTAGTGGCATAGTAGCTCTTAGGGCCGTATGCACCGTTCTTGATGTAATCGTAGATTCCGTAATCTGGATTAAGCAAATCGATTATGTTTGGTATGCACCATTTTGGTATTAATCACGATTAGCTAATCGGATTGTAAATCTGGCAACGTTGAAAATTTTTTCTTTTCTACTTTATGTGTCAAATAAATTTAAAAAACGTAGAATAGCTGGATGTCAGTAGCAGATAAGTTAACAATAATTTGGAAGAGAAAACGTGTTTTTGTGTTTTCTAACCTAACTTTTTTCTCTCTAATAAGTTAGCGAGTTAGCGTGGTTTTTGATTTTAGTCTTTGGTTTATTAGTTTTTGGTTTATTTGTTTTTTGGCAAATTTTAATTTTTCATTCAAAAATGGGCGACGGAAAGAAAAGAGAGCCAAATTTCACCCCAGATGAAAAAACACATCTGTTTAATATTATTTTTAATGGATATGGAAAAAAGTTGGAGGACAAAAGGACAGATCGCGTTTCCGTCACGGAAAAAAAACAGTTGTGGGGAAGAATTCAAGAAGAATTCAATTCGACTTCTCCAAATACAACTTTTAGAAGTTGGGAGTCATTAAAATTACTATATGAAAATAAAAAAAAGGACCTAAGAAGAAAAATGGCAGAAGAAAAAAAACAGAGGTTTATGACTGGCGGTGGTACAGTATCGCCAGTAAAACTTGATTCCGTTGAAGAAATTTTATTGTCGGTAATGAATGAAAAAACTATTTTTGGTCTATCACAGGATTTTGATTCAGACGCCATAAACACAAATCACAGTTTTGCAGAGGATAATTCTGAATTAAATGAAGTAAGGACCTAATTTAGATTAGATTATGAATTAAAATATGTTTTAATAAAACAGATTTGTTTCACTGAAGCTTTTTTTTGCAGTATAATACCAATCCAAACAGACAAGAAGAGAATTGGCGAGGTAAGCGCAAAGCTGTGGAAATAAAAGAAAATTGGAAGAAATATAAGTGTTCAGATTTGAAATTACCAGTTACCCCAGAATTATGCTGTACCCAAAATGTATGTATAATAATATCCTTCTAATTTACCTTGACAAAAATTATAGCTCAAATTAAAAAAAAAACGCCCATTGTAGATTAAATTAGTTCTGCAGTTGAATTTTACAATCCTGTAGTGTTACCTTTACATAAAAAAATGGGTCAATTAATACATTGCTTTTTACAGGAAGCTACAACATCAAAAGTTTCGCAATATACCACATGCACACCATCAAGTAGATGGCCCACAATCAGTGAAGTAAGTACATCATTTTATTTATATGTATATGAAGCAAAAATACCTTTGATGAAACTGATAGTTGAATCACTAAAAAATCTGCAATTTTTTTTTAAGTTTGATACCAATGAAGAACCTGACATAAGCACTCATACAGAGCTCTTGCAGATGCTAGGTACCAAAAAAACAACGGAGGGTGAACTAAGCTCTACCCAAAATGTAAGCATAACATTGTTACAATAAGCAGTAAGATAAATATCATTGGTGAAAGTGTAAAACCTAGTCTATGTATTTTACATAATTTTAGACGATTTAGAAAAAACTATCACTTTTGGATTTTTATTTGTTCCATTTCAATTTTTTAAATAGTTGCATATTGATACATATGAGACAATAAAACAATAAAACACTTACATAGACGATATGCTGCTCTTTTAAATAATGTATAAAAAAAATTGAAAATATGCAACATTTACTTTTTATAGGAAGCATGTACACCGTCGGGATCAAAAACACAAGCCACGGTGTCGGCCACACTTTCAAGTAGAAGACGGCCCACAAAGACGGTTACAACGTTAACATCTTCGGACTTGTCTGCCAAATATAATTTATTATTGGACAGGAGGCTGGTATTGGCAAATAAACAAATACAAGCTATTGACAGTGAGCAAGACTTTTTAAAAATTGAGAGGAGTCTTAAAATTGACTTATTAAAAAGTCAAATTATGAATGAAAAAAAGAAAAATTAGTGTTTTTTCTCTTTTTTTTCACCATTTTTTATTTTCTTTATTAATTTTAAGTTCTAAATGAAGTGTTTAAACACTTTCATGTAGTTATAATTTTTTGTATATTTTATTTTATAGGTATTTTAAGCTATTGTATGATTATTTGTACATTAATTTATTTTAATGCTAACCTCATGAAAATTGAAAGAAATTTTAAAATTGACTCATTAAAAAGTCAAATTACCAATGAGAAAAACAAAAATTTGCGTTATAGTAATAATAATAGCTATCCCTTCCCTGTAAAGCTCAGTCAGTTAAAATTCACTCGTAAAAGGGTGAATTATAGGAGAGTAATATTTTTATTATTATTTAAATTATAAAATAAAGTTTTATTTTATTTAAATCTGAGTTTCATTGTAAAATAGCAAAACAATTTTCTGGTTTTTAGTATATATTATTTAAAGAGATCAATAAGAAAGTCCAATAATAAAAATCAATTGTTTATTTTTACAAATTAGGGTAATAATTATTAATTAGATTTTGGCGAACACTTCCACCTGCCCTATTAATTGCTATATGTGGTATTATAGGTGCATCTGGAATATCTCCTTGCATTATTAAATAATTGAGCTCTTCCAAATTTATTTCATCGGGAAGAGGTGGCTCATCTTCGTTCATATCAACTGCTATATTTTGTAATACAGCAGTAGCCACTATCATGGTTAGAGTTGTATTTAATTTACATCTAGTTCCATATGCCAATACAGGAAATCTTCGCTTCCATACTCCTATTGTTCTTTCAACAACATTTCTTGTCCTTATATGTGATTCGTTATATAAATTTTCTGCTCTTGTATTTGGATTTGCAAGAGGTGTTAGTAAATAGGGTTTAACCTGATAACCACTATCACCTGAAACGAAGGATAGTGAAATGTCAAACTAGGATACTACTCATATCTAATACAAGTTCAGTGAATTGTGTAAAATACTAAAATTGGATAGATACTAGAATGTTAAATAGTTGTTTTTAAATATAAATTACCTAAGAGAGTTGTATTCTGAAATTCTCCTTGTTCAAAGCGAGCTCTAATGCTGCTATTATTTAAAACGGTAGAATCATGAGCCGAGCCTGGCCATCTTGCTGTAATATCCATTATTTTTAAATTGGGACTAGCAACCAACTGGGTATTTATAGAGAAATAGGATTTTCTATTTCGAAATACCTCTGCATCATTTCCACCTAAAAATTTGTATATTATGAAGTACTTAACAATGAGCATATCTGTATAATAAATTTAAAACAATACACTTTATGAGCGTATTTATATTAAAACTTACCTGGAGATAGAATTTTTATATGAGTTCCATCAAGGCATCCAACAACGCGTGGAAACCTAGCTATTCGATGGAATTCATGTTCTATTCGAGTTCGTTCAGCCCCTATTGCAGCCATTTTAATGAATCTGTTGGATAAACCAGCAATTATTCGGGTAACTTTTGTTATTATACGTGATGCTGTTGTTTGGTGTATATTTATAAAATCGCCAATGCAATTTTGATGAGAATTGCTTGCATAGAACCTCAAAGCCGTTAACAATTGATTTATGGGAGAAACGCTATTATTCCTAAAAAAGAAAATGGTTTTGGTGTTTACCTTGTGAAAGCAGTGTTGCTCCAATTTAATTGTATGCTTACAAATTATTATCGAACTCCAGCTGATCTTCAATTTGTTCCAAGAGCCATAATACTGTGTCTTTTTTTAGACGAAATCTTCTAAAAAACGACATTTCGTCCATTTCGGTAAAAAAATCGGTTCGTTGATAAAATCTTCTAGGTAAACCGAATTCGATTATATCCAGAATATCAGCATCATCATCTAACATAATTTCATCTTCTATGTCCATAACTTTATTCTTTAACTTTTTTACGCGTAAATCGTGAATCAATTAAAATTATAAAAGTGGGGTTATAAATGAGACAACTCGGATTAAACGGTCAAATATCTAGGATTACATTTAAACGCGATTAAGTACTAAAAATCAAGCGGTGCATAACAAGTTTTACATATAATCGAGATCAAGGGATAATCGCGATTAGTACACGTCGGTGCAT